GAGATGCCAGAACCATAGGATGACCACCAAGGACAGCAGTAGGTATGGAATGGAGCTGGCCTGGGTCTGCGAGATGAGCTGAGTGTGCTGTGGATGGCAGAGTCAGAGAAGTGGAGCTACCAGAACCCTCTGGAACCCAGAGGACTGTGAGTGAATTCCAGACATCCAGCCTTGAGCTACTTTGTTGGACTTTGGTTTTGCTTAGATGTGCCTGATTCCTCCCTTTGAAATAAGACAGTACTTGTTTTGGATTTTACAGAAGCCCACCCACAGTTAAGAGATCTTTAAAAGAGACTATGGACTTTTAAGTGTTTGGATTTTTTAAGGACTCTTAAGGTTGTACTGTCTTATGTTGTGATATTAACATTATATCTCAGGGACAAGAATTGGAAAGGTTATGGTTTAATAGTGATGTGTTTGTGTATCAAGTTGACAAGGGGTCAATTGTGCTGGATAGCTTTAGTGTCATCTTGACATACCTAGATTGAGGGGGCCTCAATTGGGGAATTTCCTCCACAGGACTGGCCTGTGGCTGTGTCTGTGGGACATTTTCTTGATTGTTGAGTGATGATGTAGGGCCCAGCCCACTGTAGGTGGTGCTACCCTTGGGCAGGTGGGCCTGTGTTGCATAAGAAAGCAGGCTGAGCAGGGACCAGGGGAACATGTCAGTAAGCAGCATTCCTCCATGGTCTGTGCTTCAGCTCCTGCCTCCAGGTTCCTGCCCTGAGTTCCTACCTTGGGCTCTCTGATGGACTATAACCCAGGAGATGTAAGCCAAATAAACAAACCCTTTCTTCCCCATGTTGGTAGTGGTCAGAGTGTTTTGTCATAGCAATGGAGAAACAAACTAGGACATATACCTAAGAGATCCCCAAAATTCCACCAGAAAACTCCTAGAACTGATCAACACTTTCAATAAAGTGGCAGGTTACAAAATTAATCTACAAAAATCAGTAGCCTTTCTATATACTAATAACAAGCAATTGGAGAAAGAGAGAAAACCTCCCCTTCACAGTAGCCTAAAAAAAACAAAATCTTGAAGTCTGACTAAATATATCAAAATGGAAATTTTAAATCTTTTTTTCTTTTTGTCTTTTTGAGACAGGGTCTCCCTGTAGTTCCAGCTGACCTATAACTTACTATGTAGACCAGGCTGGCCTTGAATTCAAAGAGATCCGCCTGCTTCTGCCTTCTCAGTGCTGGGATTAAAGGCATGTGTTACCATGCCTGGCTGAAAATGCTAAATCTTTATAAAGAAAGAGACTGAAGAAGACACCAGAAGATCGAAGGACCTCCCATGCTCATGGATTAGAAGCATTAATATTGTGAAAAATGATCATCCTACCAAAAAGCAATATATAGATTCAATGCAATCCAATAAAAATCCCCATGACATACTTCACAGAATTGGAAAAAAAATCCTTAAATTCATATGGAAGCACAAAAGACCCAGGCTAGCCAAAGCAACCCTGAGTACAAAGAGCAATGCTGAGGGATTACTATATAAGATCTCGGTACAGAGCTATAGTCATAAAAACAGCATGGTACTGGCACAAAAATAGACACACAGATCAATGGAACATCACTGAAGACCCAAGCCTGAGTACATGCAATTTCAGCCACCTGATATTTGACAAAGGTACCAAGAACACAAAATGGAGGAAAAACAGCATCTTTCAACAAATGGTGCTGGCAAAACTGGATCTCCACCTGTAGAAAAATGAATCTAGATCCTTATCTTTCACCTTGCACAAAGTCAGCTCCAAATGAATCAAAGACCTCAATGTGAAACTCAAAACTCTGAAATTATTAGAAGAAAATATTGGCAATACCCTACAAGATAGGTATAGGAAAGGACTTTCTAAATTGGACACCAGTTGCTCAGGAATTAAGGTTAACAATCAACAAGTGGGACCTCATTAAACTAAAAAGCTTCTGTACAGCAAAACAAACAATCAAGAAAGTGAAGAGAAAACCCACAGAATGGGAAAAAAGTCTTCACCAGTGACACATCTGACAGAGGTTTAATATTCAGATATATAAAGAACTAAAAAAAACAATCAAGAAAATAAATGACCCAATTAAAAGATGGGCTAAAGATCCAAACAGAGTTCTCAAGGAAGAAATAAAAATGGCTAAGAAACATCTTTAAAAGTGTTTAGCATTGTTAGTTATTAGGGAAATGCAAATGAAAACCATCTTAAGATTTCATCTTACCCCAGTCAGACTGGCTAAGATTCAGAGAACAAATGATACCAAATGCTGATGAGGATTTGGGGAAAGGAGAATGCTCATCCACTGCTGGTGGGATTGCAAACTCATGGCAACCCCTATGGAAAGCAGTGTGGAGAACTCTTAAAAAACAAAAAATGTGGCCGGGCGTGATGGCGCATGCCTTTAGATACAGCACTTGGGAGGCAGAGGCAGGCAGATCTCTGTGAGTTTGAGGTCAGTCTGGTCTACATAGTGAGTTCCAGGTCAGCTGGGGCTATAGGGAGACCCTGTTTCAAAAAGATCCCCCCACAAAAAAGAAAGATGAGATGAAATTTGCAGGTAAATGGATGGATCTAGAAACTGTTATACTAAGTGAATGAACACAGACTCAGAAAAACAAAAGAGGTATGTTCTCCCTTATTTGTGGATCCTAGCTCCAAATCCTTACAAACAGCATCCCAGTCACCATCCATCAAAGTACCTTCTTTTTCGAGGACAAAGATTGTTACAGAGTTATACCACTGGTCACACACACAGATTCTCTGTGAATTGCCCAAGCCTAAGTGGCACATTTAGGATGCAACCTCTACATCTAAGACTCACAGAACATAGAACAAGGGATGAAGAGAACACTAATGCATCTTTAAACGCTCATCAATGAATCTCCATCATGCAACAGAGGGCCAGGAACACAAAAGGCCACAAAATGGCCAAAATGCAGAGAATAAGAGTCAGCAGAGTGTGGGTCCTTGGACAAGTTCTATATTGAGGTCCACCCACCCAGGGCTCAGGGACCATTGGAGAAGAGGGGGTGGAAAGAGTGTAAGAGCCAGGGAGGAGGTGCATGACCATATATAAATAGTCCTACAGATGCCAGGGACCCTTCTCATACAAACCTATAGCAATGGTGTCAGCATGCACAAGACCCATGCAAACTTAGGAAGACAAAAACTCAGCATAGAACTGTGGAAATGAACAGCAAGCCCCAATCTTAGTTGAAGAATTATTGGCAGCTGATTACTGCTGGAAGAGCTTATCTTCTTCAAGGGAGAGACTCTAGACAGGCTGAATAAAACCTGGATGAACTTGCACTGAGGGACATCTCAGGACACTAACTTTACATAATAGGCCTTAATACAAATGACAGAATGTATGAACTCCAGTGCGGGGGCTATGGGAGGGTGCCAAAGAGGAAAGGGGAAAAAAGATGATTTTATGTATGAAATACACAAAAATTCAATACAAAATTAAAAAAATAAAAAAATAAAATTAATTTTGGGTCAGGGAAATGGCTCAGTAGGTAAGGGCACTTGCAGCCAGGACTGATGATCTGAGTTTGAGTCCCAGAATCCAGATGGCAGAAGGGAAGAGCTGACTTCTGAAAGCTGTCTTCTGACCTCCACACATACACCATGGCACAAGCATACTCTCGCCCTCACAAATGTAATAAAAAATTAATTTTATGTTAGTATACAAAGTAGTAGGTTTTATTATGGCATTTACATACACGGCATTTTACTTTGTTCTTGTTCATTTTCCTTCCCCACAGTCTTTACCCAACAACTTCCTTTTTAATCCTGTCAACAGTCTGAGGTAGAGCCACACGATTTTGGTGATGGGGAGATGGTTCAGCAGTTAAGAGTACTTGCTACTCTTGCAGAGGAAATGGGTTCATTTCCCAGCAGTAATATTGCATGGGTCACAACTGTCAGATTACAACAGCACCAGGCTCACGTATAGTGCACATACATTTATGCAGTCATTCATGCATACACATAAAAATTTAAAAATCTGTAAAAAATAGAGTAAGCTATTCCAAAAGATCTGATCTACGAGTTTACTGGTAGCATATTGTGGCATACAGCTTCGCAGTAATTTTTTATTTGTTGCAGTTTTGGAGTCCAATTATAGAGACTTGCACATGCTAAGTACTCTACTGTGGAGCTACAACTTCAGCCCTGCTAAGCTTTTTTAATAGGACAAATATATTTTTAAATAATAATAATAATAAAGTAGAGCATATCTATCAACCATTAACAGCCATCTGTTATCATTATCAAGTTTTATGTACTATACATAGACATACTACACTCTGACCAGTAGCATAGTTTTAGTTACACTTATTCACTACACACGTGTGCATAATGCATCACATTCTGTTATGGCAGCCATAACCACTAAGGAAGGGTAATTCTTCAAGTCCATTATAATCCTATGGGACCACTACCATGCAGGCCAAGCTGACTGTGACATTCCCACCAGCATATGACTGTTCAGTTCAGTTCCTCAGCTATAACAGCTGTATTAAGTAAACAACAGCAATGTTTGCCCACTAAAGACAAAAACAGATCAGTGTTCATCATTGCAATATGACTTTTGTTGTTGAAACTCATGGTCCTCCTGTCTCTGCCTCCTGAATGCTGGGATTATTATAGGCATATACCACCATGTCCCACTGCAGTATTCAATACTAATGGTCTAAAATTCATCAAGGAGGACACAACCAAGTTTTCACTAAACAAACATGGAAACTGTCTGTGTGCAGTTTTCCAATATAATCATTCAAAATCCTTCCCTCAAGAGTCAATAGTAATAACTATGTGAGAACACACTAAGGTAAAGAAACAGCTACCTACCTCCAGTTGTCTATTTGCACTTGTGACATTGAGCTTGTCGTTGCTGACTCCATGTAAAAATTTTTCTTAATTGGAGGCAAATCTGGGACAAAGATGACAATCCAAACTTTGATAAATAATGAGAATGTACATTGATTAACACTCATTCAAAGGACAGAAATCCAACTAAAATATATATTCAGTTGTATATGGTTTAGACAGCTCTATATGATGCCACCCAGGCCTAGCCAATCTAAAAGATCTCCTTTTTGTTTCTCTTTCAAATACATTTTCCACCCAGGAATGAATCCTTAATGTTAAACTTTTAATATATGATTCTTACAGGAGATAAAACCACCACGATGAATGAATTTGGTCTCAAACTTACTAGACAGATTTTAATTTTTCTTCAAAGGACCATATCATTAAGTTTTTAAAATTTTTTGCAGTGTTGGTCCTCAAATCTAGGCCTTGCATGTGCAAGAAAAGTGTTCTGTCACTGAGTCAAGTCATCCCAGTCCCCACACTATTACTATTTAAAATTCAAACAGGCAGACCAGCCATGCCTGTAATCCCAGTACTGAGGAGACTGAGGCAAGAAGATTAGGAGTGCCAGGCCAGCCTGGGCTATCTAGTGTGACCTTTTTTAAAAAGTAAGCAAGCACAAATTCATTCTAAGAATTGTTAAGCTTCCTATGACTTAATAATTTTTCTTGTATTTGGCCACTGTCAGCTAGGTTACTCTGTAATCAAATTTTGCTCAGCTATAACATATGTTATTAATATTAATGTTATGGTGGCTGGTTTTGTTTTACTTTGGTTCTGAGGATGGAAGCTGCTTGTTTTTTTTTAAATCTCTCTGGTCTCTCTTATCTGTGGATTGGATCTGTGTTGATGTAGAGATACAAGTTTTGTCCCATGGATGAGCTCACTTGGTTTTGTCTGGTCTTGTGGCTTTCAGACTTTTAGAAGCAGAACATACACTCAAAATATATTTTTTTCTTTCCTTTTTCCTTTTTAAATCCTAACTGGTTTATTGGGCTTGCTAACAGAGCCATAGGGTGCGGGTGCCCCCGCTCCCCATTTACGGCTGTGCTGGAAAGTCCACATTCAAATATAGATCCCGTGACTTCCTGACAGCTGCACAAAATGGTGGGAGAGGTGCCTCATGGTTTTCTTGGCTTATAGGCCCCTAGCCCCCATTGGCAACATTTTTATATGACCTCAGGTATATAAATATACAAAACAGGTAAGCATAGCAAACATTTACTGCTAATAAATCACAGAGAAATTTACTTTGAAATAATTCTTTGGTATACATATAATTTTACTATTTATTTAGTAAAAGAATTAAATATTATTTATTAAAGGCTAAAGCCAATTTGTATTCTAATGAAATGGATATGCTTATTTTTATATGGAAAATTAAATATCGACTGAACAATACTGAAGAATATAGAGCACCTTCAATACTTTCAGAACTGTCAATATTTTGCGCTGGGCATGGTGGCACACACCTTTAATCCCAGAACTCAGGAGCAAAGGTGGGTGGATCTCTGTGAGACTGAGGCTAGTCTGGTCTACATAGCCAGTTCCAGGCCTACTGGGGCTAGAAAAAGACCCTGTCTCAAAACAAACAAACAAACAAACAAACAAAAAAACAAGCAAGCAAGCAACCGAATCCCCAAATCCCAGAATTGTATTTTGATATTCTGATCATCAATACTGAAAATGTTGCGCCACATAAATATATTGTACAAAACTCGAGAAGTATGTTTGGAACACTTTCAAAAATTATTGGAAATTCTGTCCTAATCCTGAAGCAAAACTCATTGAATGATTTTTCAAAATACAATTCCTTAGGAACTCATCCATCAAGTTTTTTTTTTTTTGTCTTTTTTTGAGACAGGGTCTCCCTGTAGTGGGGCTGGCCTGGAACTCACTATGTAGACCAGGCTGGCCTTGAACTCAGAGATCCACCTGCCTCTGCTGGGATTAAGGGTGTTCGCCACCATGCCCAGAACATCTATCAGTTTTTAAAATCAAATATTTCTAACACAGCAGGACATGGTGGTGGTCCTAGCTCTTGGGAGGCAGAGGCAGGTGGATTTCTATGATTAGAGACAAGTCTGATGTACGTAATGAATTCCAGGCTAGCCAGGGCTACATGGTGAGACCCTGTTTCAAAAACAAAAACAAAAACAAAAACAAAAACAAAATAAAAACATTCTAACACAATACACTCCAATGATACACTAAGTCTGTACTTACATGCTGAAGAATGACAGCAGGGAAAAATGAAGAGTCTTATGCTTCCTAAGGCCAGAACACTTTGCACGCACTGTGAAAACACTTCAGTTCATGACACACAGTGTTTCCAATATGAGTAGTGGTGTTTCAGGCAGGTTTTGTTAGCACTGTGTGGTGTGATGGAATGTACAGTGCAAAGAGCACACATTGTGTTCAGAACCAAGGCTGCAGTGAAGTCCAGTCATGCAACATGGGAAAACACACCAGATCCATTATGCGGTTGATTTTGAGTTAATGTTTGGCCACTATATGTTCAGAAAATGTATACTGTTGCCAAATTTTTCGTGACCATCATGTTACATGACCTCATGTGGGTCATGAACAACAAGAAATTGGGTTACAGAGGATAAGAACTGAAGAAAAAAGAAATAGCAACACCATGTTTAATGGTTTCAATATAGCACTGACCTGCCCACTTCTTTTTTTCCCATTTCAAAGCATCTTCTCGAATTTGATCCCAATCTATGAGTGGCTGATCTTCTGTCACGCTGTCATCTATGCTGGTATCTGTTTCAACAGAAGGTTGGAATGCAATAATATCTGTTAAAATTTTTTCAGAAACTAGTTTTAGAGTAAATCCTGCCAGTACAAAATCCTCAATATAATATTTCTATTTTGTGTTTATTCATAACATATTACTACTTGAAATATAAAATCTGTTGTTTCCAGAGTCTGGAGAGAAGGCTCTGTGGGTAAAACACTTGCAGAGCAATCATGAGGACTGTCTTCAGATCTCCAGTTCCCAGGTAAATTTCAAGTGGCATGGAGACTCTCCTGTAATCCCACAACTAGGAAGGCAGACACAGGGACTCTTCAGAGCGAGCTAGCTAGCTAGACTAGCCCAATCGGTGAGCTCTGGGTTCAAGTGAGACCCTGTCTCAATATGTAAGGTGGAGAGCACCCAGTGTCTACCTCTGGCCTCTAAACATAAGCTACATACATCTTCATACACACTTGCACAAATATGCATAAACATACATATGCAAAATACCCCCACAGCACCAATCTTTACCATTATTAAAAAAAGAGCTATTTCATTTTCACTTACGTGTGGCTAAAAGTGAAAACTAGATTTACCCATGATCATAAATAGCCATGGATATTTTTAAACTTTTAGTTATTTCCTCATTTATTTATATTTATTTACTTTGTGTGTGTGCGTGCACTCGTGTGCCTGCACATATGCCATGGGCATGTATGGAGGTCAGAGGACAACTTGCACAATCAATTTTCTCCTTCCACTGTATGGGTTCTGCAGATCAAACTCAGGTCATCATGCTTGATGGTAAGCACCTTCACCTGCTGAACCAAGTCACCAGCCCAATATTATATGATTTTGAAGAAAGTAACCAGGACTTTTACTAGAAAAAAGATGTATGTGTGGATACAGGAAATCTAAAGCTTAGTGTAAGGGCAGGAGTCAGAGCTAGTATTTACACCAAAAGAAGCCAGTTGTGGTGAAGCACAGTTGTAATCCCAGAACTCAGGAAGCTGAGGCAGGAGGACTGTGAGTTGAGGCTGGTCGATGCAACACATGGAGATCCTGTATTTCAAAAACTAAACCAAACCAAACCAACAAAAACATGGAAAGAAGATACTTTTTAAAATTTCTAACACACATAAGTGAGCAAAAATTACTTACCAACCCTGTGTCTTGGATTGTAATTCTGTTGTTTTTTAACAACATTATCTATTTCTGTTTTTGCCTTTGTCTGCATTGCTTTATTGCCAAAAATTCTGATTTCTGCCTCAGGACTTCCTTTTATTACCTAGATGCAAAAAAAAAAAAAAAAAAAAAAAAAAAAAAAAAAAAAAAAAAAAAAAGGAGACACACAGTGAGACTGAAGTCCTCCTTGGCTTCAAATTGTAAGCAAGCAAGCAAAGGCAGACTTGCTATTATTCCATGCCTAGAATCAGGTGGGATCCTATTATGTCCACCTGGATCTGCCTCCCACTGAATGAAGAGGACAATTTGTAAGATTATATTAACAGTGTGAGAGGGAAAAATAAAACAATATGGGGTTAGTGAGATGGCTCAGTCGGTAAAGTGGAAAAAGGTTGGCAACCTGAGTTCAGTCCCCAGACCCTAGTAAAGGTGGAAGAGAACTCTGTACATTGTCCTATGAACTCCAAACACACACTAACCCTACAAACAAGCACACACACACACACACACACACACACACACACACACAAATAAATTTAAAAACATCTTAGTAAATCATTGATTGGACAGGTGATATCACCATGATTGGTGTTCTCTAACCTATAAAATAGTACTTTGAGGGGCTAATTTTATAGGTTGATGATATAGGTGGAGTAGATTAACCACGGGCTATATAGATAAAAGTTTATTGAATTGTTAGGTTAGTTAGGTAAAATTTTAAATTAAAAGGATTCTCTGTATA